ATGTTGGCAAGATTATATTTTTGTGTTAATTCAGTTTGCAAATACTTGGATTTGGGAATTCTGAAATAAGCAAAGCGAGTTTGAATATTGTTTATTGCACAAACTAAGAGACGTAATTCAATGACTGAGAATCTGATCAAAACTTTGTTAATTTTGTAAATCTCCCTCAATAAATCTTATATGATTGGATCTGTCATCTGCTTGAGAATGTCTTTTCCAGACTTGCAGGAGCCAGTTCCCAGGTACTGACCTCATTAATAGCCAACTTCTGTTATCTGTTTAAACATTTTGCTCTTCCCTGGTGATGAAGCATCTGCGGAACCTTTTTGACCAGGAACCAAGTTGCAGTTAACTACCAGACTTGGCCTCACAAATAAGCAAAAGGCTGTTGTTTGGTATGTTTTCCTTTTAATACAAGCTGTTGCCGATAGTCCAAAAGTCATCTTTGGCTCTCAGTTATAGAGTCATAGAATCATCCAACACAGAAACAGATCCTTTGACCAACTCGTCCATGCTGACCAAGTTTCCCAAACTAACTGGTCCCACTTGCCTGCATTTGGCCCGTATCCTTCTAGACCTTTCCTGTTCATGTGCCTGTCCAAAAGTCTCTTAAATGTTGTAACTGTGCCTGCATCTACTTCCTCTGGCAGTTCATTCCGCATTCCAACCACCCTCTGTGAAAACATTGACCCTCAGATCCCTTTAAATATCTATGCCACCTAGTTTTGAACTCCCCACCCTAGGAAAAAGACATTTGCTATTCACTTTACAAAACCACAAGGACCTAGATCAACCTCCTATAAGGTTCCTCAACCTCTTATGCTCCAGTGGAAAAAGGTCCCAGCCTATCCAACCTCTCCTTATAATTCAAACACTGTAGTTCCAGCATCATCCTTGTAAATCTTTTCTGAAAGGCCTCCAATTTAATAATATCCTTCCTTTACAGGCTGAAGAGAACTGTGCAAAGTATTCCACAAGTGGCCTCACCAACTTCCTGTACAACCTCAACATGATGTCCCAACTCCTATACTCAATGGTCTGAGCAATGAAGGCAAATGTGCTAAATACCTTCTTAACCACCCTGACTACTTGTGACATAACTTTCAAAGAACTATGTACCTGAACCTCTAGGTCTCTCTGTTCAACAACACTACCCAGAGCCTTACCATTAACTGAACAAGTCCTGCCCTTGTTTGTTTTACCAAAATGCAATAACTCACATTTATACAAATTCCCAGCTCACAGCTCCGAACTAAAGTTGATAAAAGAATAAAATAAAAATGGAAAAACCAGTGAGGACTTCAACACTGGATAGACATTTGCTTATGTGTTGAGCCCTAAGAAATTGAATTTTATTGAAGCTGTTGCTCCTGGAACGGATGTATGTAATATGTGGATAATGTGCAGTATATTAAAATATTGCTTTGTTGTAGACTTGCAACCGCATCTTCCTGTTATGAATTTTTAGGTCTACATGGCATTGCAAACATAAGCTGTAGTTTGACCTCCTTCCAATGGTGCTATAACACCTCAATATTGTATATCCCTTCTTGGGAAAGAAGCCAAATATAGAAATGGTTAAATTGTATCTATATGCTCAATTGAAATTGTTCCCTGTCTTGTAATTGGGTTTTACTTCAGTTTTACATGGTCCTGATTCTGCCTGTGCTATGCCGTATGTCATTGACTAGGAGTGTATTAACTCCATGAGTTAGTAAAACAATCACTATTCTATCCATTGCTTTCCATGTACTGATATTGTATTGGGAATTAATGTTTACCTGGAATGGCTTTGTTAACTTCTTTCAAGCCACTATAATATAGATTACTAATGTAATGTCCTCTATGACAAACAGTGAGAAAGACTTTGTAAATCAATTTTCAAAAACGGCTCTCACCAGTTGTCTTCCCTGGATGTTTTGAGTCCTCACTGATTCCACAGGTACCAGATACAAAGCAACTATTTCATCTAGTTGGCCATTACTTATACCCGAGACAAGTGTTGGTTTGACTAGCAAGGTTTTAGAGCCACGCTTCATTCTGTTCAAACTGCCATTAGAGGTTTACTATGCCTTATAAAATTAAAGCCCTGCATATGTCCCACATTCCACTATCAAACACAGGGATTGGATTTCAGTTATAGCAACATCATGTTGCCTTGGCTGAAATTGGCTACTTCAACCTAGTAAATAAAAATTACAGAGGTTGTAGAGGAAAGAAATGTATCCATGACATACATACGCTGTGTAACTTATTTTTGTAACTAGCATTTAATTTGGTACTTTATTCACTCATCGAACGTGGATGTCACTCCCTGACCAGATTTATTGCCTGCCCTTTGTTGCCCTTGAATGGAGTGTCTTGCTGGGTTATTTCAAAGGGCATTTGAGAGTCAAACACATTGCTTTGGATCCAGAATTACATATAGGCCAGATTCCTTCCCTAAAGGACGTTAGTGAGTCAGATGGGTTTTTCTCGACAATTGGCAGTGGTTTCATGGTCATCAGTAGATTGTTAATGCCAGATTTTTGTTTTGAATTGAATTCAAATCCCACCATCTGTCATGGCAAGATTCGAATCCGGGTCCCCTGAAATTTAATAGAAATTGCTGGAAAAGCTCAGCTGCTATGGCAGCATCTGTGGAGAGAAATGGGAAGTTAACATTTTGGGTCAAATGATCCTTCCTCAGGACTTGAGGTTCTGATGAAGGGTCACTCGACCCAAAACGTTAATGCTGATTTCTCTCCATAGATGCTGCCAGCCTGGCTGAACTTTTCCAGCAATTTTTATTTTTGTCTCTGATTCACAGCATTTGCAGTTCTTTAGGATTTCCCCAGAACGTTAACTGAGTTTCTGGATCAGTATTCTAATGATAGTACACCAAGTTCAGTTTTTCAGAGATGTGGGATTTTTGAGATTTTAAGTAGTAAACTGTGTAAGATAAGCATTGTATAAACATTCTCAGCAATCACGGCAGGTATATTCTTATCTAGTAAATCTGATTGAGAAGTATACCAGCAAAGTTTTTGAGAAGATTTGTAGCTCGGGTTGCGGATGAGGTTGCAGACTTGCTCGCCGAGCCGGTGTGTTTGATTGCAGATATTTCGTCATCCTGCTCAGTACCATCGTCAGTGCGCCTCCGGTGAAGCGTTGGTGTTCTGTCCCGCTTGTTATTTAGATGCCTCGGTTTGCTGGAGTGCTTGGCATCACTTCGGGTTCTGTTTTTCAGTAGTTTGTATGTTGGGCCCAGTTCAAATGTGTTTGTTAATGGAGTTCCGGTTAAGTTGCCAGGTCTCCAGAAATTCTTTGGCATGTCTCTGTTTGGCTTGTGCTATTATGAATGTGTTGTCTGGGACAATGCCAACACTTCACCAGAGGTGCACTGACGATGTTACCTTGCAGGGTGACAAAATGTCTGCAACCAAACACGCTGGCTCAGCGAGCAAGTCTACAACCTTAGGTATACCAGCAATTTTCATGATGGGCTGTTATCTGTACCTAACAACTTCTTCAGTTTGAGGTGTACTGCGAGTGTTGCAATCATGCTTGGTTACAAATGTTGCTGTTGACAGCTTGAAAGCGTCTGGTCAAATTGTAAGCTTGTTGTTCAAATGAAATGGAATTCATTCAATTTCTAAATCATTGGCAGTTGAATATTTAACTTCATGTTTGTAATTTGAAGATTGTTCAAAAATATCTAGGTTAACAATGTGGAACTGAAAACGCTCTCCATATGACTGCCTGTCTAAGTGGGCAATTTATCAGCTAATATTTAAGTGGTAGAAAATGAATGTTTATAATGGAAGTGAATTGTCAGAGTATACATATGGGCTTGAGTGTAAATTTGAGGTTTATATACATAGGTATGTTTTGCCTCTCTTGAACAAATAAGTGGACTACCATTTTGGTATCAATGCGTGTAATGTTGGGGGAGAAAGAATGCATAAAATAAATCTCTATTTGTTGCCTTCAAGTTCTAATGTTCCATTACAGTTTCATTTTAGTTTGAAATAAAATCAGGTGCAAATGAATTAGTATTTAGGTAGCCTGATGTAGCTGGAGATAATTCTGTTGCATGGAATCTGGTACGGCGAGGTTAGAAAATGAGACTTCAGTAACAAAAACCTCATTAACGACAGGAAATAAAATGATCACTGGTACTTTTGTGGTTAAATTAACTGACTGAAATGGCTCTGTCACATTAAACCCAGCTGGTTTCCATTCTACTTGCCTGCTCTCTAGATTTCATACCACATTCTGTATAAACTTAATTTTATCATAGGAGGAATTGGCTGACTGCACAACCTCGTCTTTGGTTGTGAATATGTACATGAACTCAAGTAATGTTTTAACTTGGTCTCCTGCACCCAAATATTTTACATTACATTCAAAAAGTAAACTATTCTTTTGAAATCAAGGTGCTGCTGGGGAAAGGTTCTTTACTTATGTCTATCCTTAAAAACAAAAATCATCATTTTTACTTCACTTCTTTGTCCGTTCTCTTATCTTCTGCTGCCTTTTCAGGATCATGGACTTTGTTTGTGATTTTCCTCAATTTACATTTATGTTTTCCTGTATCTAGTTTTGTTGGCCAATAAGTAGGTATATTTTTTTAATCTTTTTTATAATTAGTTTGACTCTTTTTTCAATAACTTGTATCCTTGTTGCACTAAGTAATTTTAAGCAGCTTCTTGAATTTTTTAAAACTTTTCTTGTGTAACTTGTGTAATAAAGTATTGCTAATTTTGTTTTATGTAAAAAAAATTTGTTTCAGTAAAAGTAATTATTTCAAATTAATCACTCAGTCATTTTTATTTGTATTAGATTTATTTATTTATGTACCTACCGTGATAATTATACTCATGTTAATTATTATGAATTGTTATGGCCATTATGAACATACTTAAGTTTTGATGCTGTAAGTATCGATCATTTAAGTTGCTCATAATTCTGTTCTGTTTTCATGCAATTATAGCTTTGTTTTTGACCTTCCCTTGCAGCCAAATCCATCAAATAAACTAGCAATAATACATATTTTGGGTCTGTTGTCCAATTTGTTCACCACATTGGATATCAGTCACCATGACGATGAGCCAGAAGGCACTGAAGCAAAGAAAAAACCCACCTTGCAAGGACCCAACCCTGTAAGTACTACCAGTGGTACTAACATGGGATTCTCATGGCTTGATCTTTGTATTTCTAAAAACAACTATGATGTTTATGTTGCCAGGAGCATATTTAGGGGGGAATTTTCTGTTTTGTGAAGTTAATTTGACGTTCAAAAGCAACCATTAAAGGTGATGATTTGTCTACAGGTCGTGGTGGTCCTCCAACAAGTCTTCCAACTCATACAGAAGGTGTTGTCTAAATGGCTGAATGATGCTCAGGTCGTTGAGGTAAGGTAGATTGTTAAAATGCATTAGATTTGGCAAAATACGTCTGGCACTTCTGATTTGTTGATTTCATTTTTGCATTAAAGTTATCTTCCTTTTCAATGTATAGTTTAGCTTTTTAATGGAAAAGAAATTGGGAAACTGATTAACTTGCTCAGAGATAGTAGGAACTGCAGATGCTGGAGAATCCGAGACAACAAGGTGCAGGGCTGGATGAACACAGCAGGCCAAGCAGCATCATAGGAGTAGAAAGGCTGA